AACAAAAAATTCATAGCATAAATTTTTCGTTGCTATGAGAACGAGACGATGAAGTCAAAGACAAAGAACATTTCAAATGTTTAATTAATTTCATTATTATAATTATTTACTTTTGTTTGGCAACAACAAAAGACTAACTCAAACAGTAACATTTTAATAACTCGAAAGTTTTGTGAGGCTGGTTCGGCTGGTTCTGCTCCAATGCTGACGTTACTGCTTGTACACACCATTGCACAACAACAAAACAAACAGGAGAAGCAAAAGTAAGAATTTGCAAACAGTGACAGCCATAAAAGCCATTTTTAAATTGGCAGCAATATTCTCTTCTACAGCTTCTCTTACACGGATCCTACGATGATGCCGACGACGACCTCCAGCAAACGTCAAACTAACCACAACAAATTAAACCACAAATAAAAACAAGTGAAAAAGCGGTAAGTTCGGCCGGGCCGAACTTTGGATACCCTCCACCATAGATATATTGACAGGTACTAGAAATGAAAATATAGGGAACATACCAAAAAGTGGACCTATACCGACATTTCTAAAAACGGATTATGTAAACCATAATTAAAAATTTTAGAAAATTTTAAAGGATAATTATACTCTCAGCCTTATGGCTAATGAGGGTGTATAGACTTTAACACGGTGAAAATGTGTCTCATCGAAATATTGGTTCTAGACCCCATGTTTCTTTGGACCAAATCCGTTTCAGAAAATTTAGATTTCATCCAAACTTTGCCCATCTTATTATTTCTTCCAAGCTTAGTTCAAATTCTCGAACTTCCAATCAGGGGCTAGGTCTAAATGCGGCTATAGTTAATTATCGAACCTTACGTTCTAATTGTTTATCTCTCTATCCTCCGCAGGTGAAATGATTACAAAAGAGACTTAGAACCAAACTCAAAACGCGGAACAAATCAGATAACTATTTTAATATAAAAAAGGGGGTTATATGGGGACTACCCCAAAAAGGGGGTGAATATTAAAAATTTTTGGTAGAGAGATTTGTTACCATATACGACTACAAATTACCAAATTGCAGCAAATTCGGTTGAAAAATGCGCTCAAGAACCCCCAAATACCGAAAATTGGGGGTACCCTTATATGGGGGCTATCCGAAAAAATGGACCAATATTCATAATTTTTGGTGGAGAGATTTGGAACCTATTAGGAACCCAATGTACCAAATTTCAGCGTATTCGGTTGAAAAACGCGCTCAAGAACCCCAAAATTCCGAAAATTGGGGGGTACCCTTATATGGGGGATATCCGAAAAAATTCACATATGTTTATAATTTTTTGTGGAGAGATTTGGTACATATTAAAAACTCGAAATACTAAATTATAGCCAATTCGGTGGAAAAATACAATCAAAACCCCCAAAATACTGAAAATTAGGAGGTACCGTTATAAGGGGGCTACCAGAAAAAGTGGACCTATATTTATAATTTTTTGTGGGGACATTAAGTACCCAATAAGAACCCAATGTACCAAATTTCAGCGTATTCGGTTGAAAAACGCGCCCAAGAACCTCAAAATACCGAAAATTGGGGGGTACTGTTATATGGGAGCTATGTCTAAACGTGGACCGATATATCCTATCTTCGAACTTGACCTGCCTGCAGACAAAAGACAACCCTATGCAAAATTTCAGCATCCTATCTCAATTCCTTCAGAAGATAGCGTGATTACAACAGACGGACGGACGGACAGACGGACGGACGGACGGACGGACATGGCTAGATCGTCTTAGAATTTTACCCTGATCAAGAATATATATACTTTATAGGGTCGGAAATGAATATTTCGATGAGTTACAAACGGAATGACAAAATTAATATACCCTCCATACTATGGTGGAGGGTATAAAAAGGGGGTTATATGGGGACTACCCCAAAAAGGGGTGCATATTAAAAATTTTTGGTAGGGAAATTTGTTACCATATATGACTACAAAATACCAAATTTCAGGGAATTCGGTTGAAAAACGTGCTCAAGAACCTCAAAATAGCGAAAATTGGGGGAACTCTTATATGGGGGCTACCGGAAAAAGTGGACCTATATTTATAATTTTTAGTGGGGAGATTTGGTACCCCATAAGAACCCAATGTACCAAATTTCAGCGAATTTGGTTGAAAACCGCGCTCAAGAACCCTAAAATACCGAAAATTGGGGGGTACCCTTATATGGGGGCTACCCGAAAAAATTGACCTATATTAATAATTTTTAGTATAGAGATTTGCTACCCAATAAGAACTCAAAGTACCAAATTTCAGCGAATTCGGTAGAAAAATGCGATCAAACCCCCCAAAATACCTCAAAATTGGGGGTACCCTTATATGGGGGCTATCCGAAAATATGGACCCATATTTATAATTTTCAGTGGAAAGATTTGCTACCCAATACGAACTCAATATACCAATTTTGAGCGAATTCAGTTGAAAAACGCGCTCAAGAACCTCAAAATACCGAAAATTGGGGGGTACCCTTATATGGGGGCTATCCGAAAATATGGACCCATATTTATAATTTTCAGTGGAAAGATTTGCTACCCAATACGAACTCAATATACCAAATTTGAGCGAATTCAGTTGAAAAACGCGCTCAAGAACCTCAAAATACCGAAAATTGGGGGGTACCCTTATATGGGAGCTATGCCTAAACGTGGACCGATAAAGCCCATCTTCGAACTTGACCTGCCTGCAGACAAAAGACGACTCTATGCAAAATTTTGGCGATCTATCTCAATTCGTTTAGACGCTAGAGTGATTACAACAGACAGACGGACAGACAGACAGACAGACGGACAGACGGACAGACGGACAGACGGACATGCTTAGATCGTCATAGAATTTTACGCTGATCAAGAATATATATACTTTATAGGGTCGGAAATGATTATTTCGATGCGTTACAAACGGAAAAACAAAACTAATATACCCTCCATACTATGGTGGAGGGTATAACAAGTAAAAGTTGGAAAACGTACTAACTAACAAAGTTTTGTTTTTTGTTTCAAAAAAAAAGGCAGTAGCCGTAAGCTTCATTTCCGATATTCCAGTAAACTCAACTCTTGGCCGAATGCCAAGCGAGAAAGGAACCAAACGCCAGCCAACAACAACATGATGGGGTTTATATCATCAACTAGGCCAACAAAAATACCATTTCATCCGTTGGCTTTATAAAAATTTCTCTGTCGCGATAATTATGTATGTTGTTGGAGGGGTGGTTGGGTGGGTGTGGAGTATGTGTTTCAGGCGAATAGCTTGGAAAGTTCACAAATTAATTAACAAAACACAAACATCGTGACACTATTTAGCACTTAGTCATAAATGTAAACTAAATGGCTTGAATGCCATGCCAACTATATGAAGGGAATAATGGCTGGGCATTATTAATAATTGGCATTATGGTCATGAATGCTGAACTTTGTTTTATTTGCAGTAAATTTATTGGGTGGAGTAATATCCTCATATCCAGAATATTTATTTTTCTCTATTTAAAGAGCATAAGGAAATTTAATTATAGCGATTTGTTGGACTTACCTTTCGACAAATGATTTCTGAAAAAATAGAGAAAAATTTTTGAATAAATTTTGAGAATTTAATAAATATATTGTAAGGGTAAAATGTACTCTGTAGAAACACCTTATAGGCATTAGATTATAGTATAAGTCAAGCGGAAATATTCATCTTTTATAAAAGACCTACATGAAAGCTCTTTATCTACCCTCTAGATCCCTAAAAAATAACCTTCTTTTAACGACGTCATCAGGATATCATCGAATAGACGAAGAGGTATTCTTCTGGGGAAGTTCCACTTCTATCCTTTATAGAAGTGGAAGATATCTACTTTTATAAAAGACCTCCACAAGAGCACCTGAATAAAAAGTGTGTTTCTATAGAGGACCACAACAAAATTATAGACGAAAACGTGGCCTTCTTCTGTTGAAGTTCCATTTCTATTATTTTATAGAAGTGGAGGATATCTACTTTTACAGAAATCTCTACAGGAGCAGCTCTTCTTATATATGTATACTTCAAAAATAGATCCATTTCTACTGAAGGCATTAATTTAAGACCTCAACAAGAGGCCTTCTTGTATGTGTAAACAGAATGTTTACTTTAAGAGAAAGTCTGCTAATATAGAATACCTAAATACGAGCTATTTTCTATATAGATGAGCAGAAGGACTAATCTATATATAAACCAGTAAGGAAAGTAGTAAAGTCGGACGGGGCCGACTATATAATACCCTTCACCACTATGGGTATATTAAACAAGAATATTAACATGAAATTGGACGAAATAAAATATGTGATATTTATCTAAATGTGAATCTACCTAGATCTATCCATAAACATGTCATTTGTTACAATGGGACAAAAGTATGTAAATCGACTTCAAACAAATATAAATAGGTCATCCGTTGGCATATGTCTGTACTTCTATAAAACGCAACTACGCAATTCTATGCTCAATTTTGTACGTAGTGCAGAATTTGATGTCAATCTGACTAACATGAGGAGTTTGATGCCCAATTTACTTGAAATCGGGCGAAAATATATATGGAAGCTCTATCCAAATATTAAGCGATTTCAAACAAACTTGTCACAGATTAGGTTGCTGTAGCCGTCATTGTTATCGGTCGCACAATTACATACGAGCACTTCAAACTAATAATTCATTGGTGTTTTTAACAGCAAATTCTTCGGTTTTTGAATATCCTTTTGTCAATAAATTGATAAAGCTTTTTTGATATTAAATATCTGAATAATATGTCAATGCTAGAAATACCAGTAAATAACCAGTGTGGGCAGTGTTCTACTCAAATAAAGTCAATAAACTTTGTGAGATGTTATCATTGTAACAGACAATTTCATTTTAATCCGTGCTGTTCTCTCTCTGAGAGCTCATATAATAGCATGGGACATGCAAGAAAAGCAGATTGGAGATGTCATCGATGCAAACCAATAACAAAATCCCCTAACAACGCTTATATGAGTATAATATACTCGGATAATGAGATCCAGTCAGATAATAATGGAAACGATAAACAAACAAACACAAAACAACAAAGAGAGGACGATGACATTGCCAGAACAAGTAAACGTTACAAAAATACATCAACACCAACAACATCATTAAACAACGTAGAGATGTCATCACAACAAAAAGAAATAGCTGAGATGAGAGCTGGTATGATAGAAATGCAGAACTGCATAAAACAACTAACAACAAACATAACAACAGTAACAGCAGTGAGCACAAGAATTGAGCAACACATCGCAGAAATAAACAAAAATGTAGCAACAATAACAACACAAGTAAAAGAGCTTCAGATGAGCGACATTGAAAATAAGAAAGAAATACGTGAACTCAAAGAAAGAATAGCGAAAATGGAACAGAAAGCACTCGATAAGAACATTGAGATTGGTAATGTTATGGATGAGAACATGGACGTTTACGAACTGTTGAAACAGATAAGTGAATGCACAGGTGTAGAAATAAATACCACTGACGTAAACAGAGCATACAAGGTAAAAAGGAAAAATAAGATCATTGTTGAACTCTCAACGGTCAATAAGAAAATTGAATTAATGAGTAAAATTAAGAGACACAAAGTGGAAATAAGAGATGCAAATGGAGAGAATAATGTGGTTTACGTGAACGAAGAGTTAACTGCGTATAACAAACGTCTCCTATGGATGGCCAAAACAAAAGCTAAAGAAATGGGATGGAAATTTGTATGGGTAAAAAATGGAAATATATATGCCCGCAAAAATGAAAACTCCAGCTTTACGATTATACATAACTCTACAGATATTGAAGATATAACCTCAACAAATTAATTAAAAGTATTTGCCAAAACTGAAAAAATAAATCAATAAAAACTGCAATTTAAAAGTTATCAAAATTAATGCTATAAAAACTATATTCGATATCGAAAATAAACTGTATATACAGAATTATAATTTTATTTTTATTTTTTTATTTTTTATACTATTTTAAATTCCAAAATAATAATGAATTTTACTGAAGAAATAGTTAATAGTGTAAACGACATAAGCATGGAATATTTGAATTATAATATGTCGATGATAAGTTTTAACATTAGATCTTTAAGAAAAAATTTTCTGACATTTATCGCAAGTATCGCAAAAGTTATGGATAAAATTCAATTAATAATACTCTGCGAAACAAATATATCTGATAGTGAAAGTCAATTTTATCACATTGATGGTTTTAATGGAATCTTTTCTAACAGAGAAGGTCGTGGTGGTGGAATTGCGGTTTATCTCAGAAATAACATACAATACACGGAGATAAAAATTGATTTGAAGTCCGCAGAAACAATGAGATTAGATATCAAAACTTCAACCAACATTGAGTTCACGATAATACCAGTTTACCGCCCACCTTGTAAAAGCATAAAATTATTTTTGAAGGAAGTAGAAAATTTAATAAATTTATTAAGCCGAAATAATAAATTAGTAATAGCTGGTGACATGAATATTGACATCATGAAACGAAACCCTACAACAATAAACTACCTCAATCTCCTTTCATCTAACGGTCTACAATGCATGGTAACAAATGTAACTCGCGAAGACAACAATAACCAAACAAATACGTGTATAGATCACCTAATATGCAGATGGGATTCGAGAATACTAAAAGCTCACGCAGTAATAGTGAAAATCGAAATTTCAGATCACTTTTTAATTATCGGAAATATTCACGAAAACAAAACAACTGCAATGAAAACCCAAAACTCACAACACATAAACATAATAAATAACAGCAAGGTCAAGAACCAAGTAAACAATATAAATTGGGAAGAAATAATGTGTATATCTAATAATACTAATGAATTATACAATAATATATACAATAAATTCAATGAGATATATAATAATTCTACTATTAAAATATCTACGTTTAAAAAGAGAAACGCGTATCCTTGGCTTAATGAGTATATACTTAAGTGCTGCAACATTAGGGACCAACTGTATAAGAAATGGTCTAGAAACAAAAATAATAAAATCAACGAGAAAATATACAAAAACTTTAATAACAAATTAAATAAAGACATATATAAAGCCAAAAATAATCATTTTTATAACCAGTTTTTGGAAAATAAAAACAACATTAGAGGTACTTGGCAACTTATTAATACTATTATGGGAAAAAAGTCGAACAATGTAGATTCAAATATAAAAATGAACTTTAAAAGTGAAAATTTGAAAGATATTACCGAAAACTTCGCCATAAGCTTCAAAGAGAACGTGCTGAAAATAATCCACCCGTGTTCAATTGTTACACTAACCACAACTTGTGATAAAATAATACAAAACTCTATGTTTATGGAATATGCTACTGAACAGGAAATCAATAACATCCTAAAGTCCATTAATCCTCGTAAAAGTGCTGGAATAGATAATATAAGACCACTGGATTTAAAAAACAATGCCGATCAACTTACACCGATCGTAACGAAATTAATTAACTCAAGCATACATGAAACCACTATACCCGATATGATGAAACAATCAATTATAAGACCAATATTTAAAAATGGTTCGAAAACTGATTTCAATAACTACAGACCAATCTCCATATTGCCGGTAATGGAAAAAGTTCTTGAGGAAAGAAGAAGACTTAGTGGCTTCCTAACAAAATATGAAGTAATTAACAAAGAACAATATGGATTTCAAAAAGGGAAAAATATCAACCAACTACTGGGACACTTTACCAACTACATAAATAAGTCATTGGGTCAAAATAACAATTGCCTTGCTCTATTTATAGATTTCAGTAAAGCTTTCGACACTCTACCCCATGAAAAATTATTATATATGTTAGAAAAATGTGGAATCAGAGGTCATTGTCTGAACTGGTTCGCCAATTATCTTTCTAACCGAACCTTTTGCGTTAAAGTAGCCGAAACAAACAGCAACATGGTGGCTGTAAAATATGGTGTTCCACAAGGCTCAAAACTGGGTCCAATTCTATTCTTAATCTACGCAAATGAAATGGTGCTACAATTGAAGAACAGTGTAACATTTACTTACGCAGATGATACTGCTGTAATAGTATGTAACAAGTCGTTACAAATAGCAACGGATACACTTCAAAAAGAGTTTAATATACTTACAAATTGGTGTCATGACCACGGATTAGTGATAAACTCTGTGAAAACAAAAATAATGCATATACGTCCAAGAAGTAAACCGAATACAAACATTAAAATTATTTTCCACGACAGAGAATGTATACATTACAAAAATATGAACAATCAAATTGGAGATAATTGTAATACACACATTGAACTAGTCGAAACTTACAAATACTTGGGAGTCCATCTTGATGAAAACTTTAAATGGAAACCACATATACAAAGTTTGCAGAAAAAACTAAGGCAATCTGCATATGCATTATATCACTTGGGAAACTGTGCACCAAATTACGTGATAAAACAAACATATTTCTCATTAGTTGAGTCACATCTAAGGCATGGAATCACGGCATGGGGAAACGCAAGATACTGTAGGCTCCTGCAGGTGTCACAAAACAGGATTGTCAAACTACTAAATAAAAGAACTTATAATCGCTCACAACATAACAACAACACAAAACAATTGTACACAACACAACAAATTCTCAATATTAAACAACTGTACTCTATTTCGATCGTAAAGGAATTCATGGATGATCTGAGTTTGGCGAAAAAGATAAATCATAATCATAATACAAGACGAAGAGCTGAAGGAAGATATGTAGTACCGCCGTATAGAAATGATTATGAAAAGAACGCGATATCTGTGTCTCTACCACTAGCTCTAAATGAGCTTCCTGCCAAACTTATAGATGAAAGCAAAAATACTAGGATTAAGTTAATCAAAAATTACTATTTGAATAATTATTAATTAATGTCACTGAAATTTTAATATTGAGCTACAGCAAATTTTGACATGTTTATATATATATACATTACCTATACATTTCCCACAGACAAGCTAGTTATTAGCTTCGTGGGATTTCAAATGAAATGTAAACTTTATAATTGATCTCAAATAAATAAATAAAAATAAAAAAAAATAAAATTTGTTATATGTAGATAAAGTATCTACGTTAGATAATGTATCTGTGTTATTTGAAAAGCTTAAATGATTTATTTCGATAACGTAGATAATGTATCTACGTTATTTGAATAGCGTATATAATTTATCTACGTTATTGGGGAAATGTAGAAAATTCATCTATGTTATTTAGATAATGTATCTATGTTATTTGAGTAATGTAAGTAATGAATCTACGTTATTTGGATAACGAAGATAATGTATTTAAGCAGCGCAGATAATGTAAATATGTTATATGGATGCTGTAGATAATTTATCTACGTCATATTGATAATGCAGGTAAATTATCTACGTTATCTTTGGTAAAGTAGATAATTTATCTACGTTATTTTAATAAAGTAGATAATGTATATACGACATTTGTTATATGTAGATAAAGTATCAATGTTAGATAATGCATCTGTGTTATTTGAAAAGCTTAGATGATTTATTTGGATAACGTAGATTATGTATCTAAGTTATTTGAATAGTGAAGATAATTTATCTACATTATTAGGGTAATGTAGATAAATTATTTAGATAACGTAGATAATGTATCTAGTTATTTGGATAACGTAAGTAATGGATCTACGTTATTTGGATAACGTAGATAATGTATTTAGATGGCGCAGATAATGTAAATATGTTGTATGGATGTCGTAGATGCAGAAAATTTATCTATGTCACTTTTATAACATAGATAATGTGACACATTATCTACATTATTTAGATAATGTATCTATGCTACTTTGATAACGTAGATAATGTATCTAGGTTGTTTGGATAACTTAGATAATGTATCTAAGTTATATGGATACCGTAGATAATGCATCTATATTAGTTTAGTAGCGTAGATAATGTGTCTACATTATTTGGATAACGAAGATAATGTATCTACGTTATTTGGATAACATAGATAATGTATCTACTTTATTTGGATAAAGTGGATAATGAATAAACGTAATTTTGATAACGTAGATAATGTATCTACGCTATTTGGATAAAGTAGATAATGTGATTACTTTATTTCAATAATGTAGATAATTTATCTACTTAATTTTAATAACGTAGATGAAGCTTCTACGTAGTTGTGATAAGGTAGATAAAGTATCTACGTTATTTCGATGACGTAGATAATGAATATATGTTATTTGGATTACGAAGATAAATTTATCTACGTTATTTTAATAGCATACATACATTATGTATTATCTAACATTATCTAGATAATTTATCTACGGAATTTTAAAAGTGTAGATAATGTATATACGTTAGTTTTATAACGTAGATTAAGTATCTACGTTATATCGATAACGAAGATAATGTATCTATGTTATTATGACAACACATATAAAGTATCTATTTTACTACGATAATTTAGATAAGCTACCTACGTTATTTTGATAACGTACATAATTTATCTATGTTAGTTTCATAATATAGATAATGTATCTATTTGGATTTATTTAAATATCGCAGATAAAATAAATCTTTAAAAATTCAACTTACTTGAATCCGGTATAAACCAAATCAGATATGTAATGCCTCCAGCAAACAACATCAAATATCCAGACCACAGCCACCTATGTCGGGTATAAAGGGTCAAATAGAGTCCCAAAAATATTCCCAACATTTCAGCAAAACCTAAAATTAGATACCGACATTAAAAATCCCCGTTATCTTCCGTTCGTCCGAACTTACCCAAACACGAAGTATTGACATGCAATTGTGTCGTATCCACAAAACGTATCATTACCACCATAACGCTATAGATAACTACAGAGACGGCCCAAGCCCAATGTATTAGGATGATAAAAAGTCTTGGGGATTTACCATCCCACAATGACCAAAAGGTGGACGTTGGTTTCTTTTGCAATTCGGTGGCTAAATGTTCGAGACGTTGTTCCATATCTAAGGGTATTGAACGATTATTAAATGCTGCCGATTCGAGAAGGAGTGTCAGGGTCTTATCGATTTTTTGATGTTGGAGTAGCCAGCGAGGACTGTCGGCTATCCATCTGTCGGAGCGGGAGGAAGAGAAATGGTTATTATAAATTTGATGTATTCAGGTTGGGGCTTACCTATGTGGTATCACCAACAATAATAGGGACGACGATATGGCCACATATAAATGACTCCAGCTATCGAAGAATATCGATATACCCGGTAGTAGTATCAAACCAATCGAAGAGAATAATTCGGAGAGAATTATGGTCATTGTTCGTGCCTTGCCTGCGGTGATGTCGGACACTGAAAAAATAACCAAATTAAAAAAAATGTATGTTTAACTGAATTTGAATTCCATTAGGTAACCTTCAATTCGGGCCAGCTGAATTAGGTTTCCATTAGGAAATCTTCAATTCGGCCCAGCTGAATAAGGTTTCCATTAGGTAACCTTCAATTCGGCCCAGCTGAATTAGTTTTTAATTAGAAATTTTTCAATTCGGCCGAGCTGAATTAGTTTTTAATTAGAAAATTTTCAATTCGGCCGAGCTGAATTAGGTTTCCATTAGGAAATCTTCAATTCGGCCCAGCTGAATTAGGTTTCCATTAGGCAATCTTTAATTCGAGCCAGCTGAATTAGGTTTCCATTAGGTAATCTTCAATTCGGCCCAGCTGAAATAGGTTGAACTTAGAAAATTTTCAATTCAGCTTAGCTGAACTACATTTATATTAGTTAAACTTCAATTCGGCTTGGCTGAATTAGGATTCCATTAGGTAACCTTCAATTCGGCTCAGCTGAAATAGGTTTAATTTAAAAAATTTTTAATTCAGCTTAGCTGAACTATATTTATATTAGTTAAACTTCAATTCGGCTAGGCTGAATTAGGTTTCCATTAGGTAACCTCAAATTCGGCCCAACTGAATTAGGTTTCCATTAGGCAATCTTCAATTCGGCTTAGCTGAATTAGGTTTCCTTTAGGTAACCTTCAATTTGGCCCAGCTGAATTAGGTTTCCATTAGGTAACCTTCAATTCGGCCCAACTGAATTAGGTTTCCATTAGGTAACCTTCAATTCGGCCCAGCTGAGTTAGGTTTCCATTAGGTAACCTTCAATTCGGCCCAGCTGAGTTAGGTTTCCATTAGGTAACCTTCAATTTGGCCCAGCTGAATTAGGTTTCCATTAGGTAACCTCCAATTCGGCCCAGCTGAATTAGGTTTAAATTAGAAAATTTTCAATTCAGCTTAGCTGAACTATATTTATATCAGTTAAACTTCAATTCGGCTTAGCTGAATTAGGTTTCCATTAGGTAACCTTAATTCGGCCCAGCTGAATAGGCTTCTGTTGGTAAATTTTCACTTCAGCTTAGCTGATTTAGTATTTCCTTGGAAATCTTCATTCCAGCTCAACTTAGAAATTTTCAACTGATCTTAGCTGAATTGCAAAATCTTCAACAAAGCTCAGTTGAATGAGGATATTCGTTAGAAAATCTTTAGTTTAGACCAAATGAACAAGGTTACCACGAGGAAAACTGCAATTCAGCTCAGCTGAATTAGGTTTCTATTAGGATATCAGCAATTCAGCTAAATGTTTATCCGTCTTCTCGACATACTTACATATCAATTGTCCCGATGTATACATGAAGGCACAAAATATCGATGTCAAACAGCGATAGTAGACATGCAGAACAAACGTGGATACCAGTCCCGTCATATTGCCACAGATGATTTGGCCGATCATGCCATACAACATCAGCCGTTTGGGACTAACTCTGAAAAGACAGAAATCAGTCATCAATCGGAATATAAGGAAAATTAAATCTTTTACATTCTCAACGACTTCACTGCCAAAAATCCACCGATCAAAGCTCCCAGGGCATGAAACGACTGCGTAACGGATACCAACAGCTGTCGCGAGCAGACCAAATCAAATTCCGTTATCAGTGATTTATATTCCGAAATATGTTCAAAATGATCACAGGGTACAATTGAATCGGAATTTTGATCTTGCTGAGGCTCATCAAAGGGATTTGTGTAATTCGATAGCTCTGCCGACGAGGGTTTACGTATATAACACTGATCGATGTGAAATTCACGATCGGTTTTCTGTTGATATTCACGTGCGGGATAGGATTTGTGTATCCATTCCTCGGGGTGGACGTGGGTAATATTTCCCTCTAACGGAATATTATTCAATGAGGGTTTACAATAATAATCCGTTTTTTGTGGAACTGGTGCTGTGTAAATGACACAGGCCATGAACCAGGAGGTGGGGATTTTACACAAAAACACTAAGATTATGGTGCGTAACTGCCATCGCCCGAAATTCCCCGTTACACTGTGGACTATATCCTCTTCATGTGACATTACAGCTATTTTTTTCCGTAATGTTCCGAACCGTACCGTTTCTATATTATCACTTTAGGTAAGCGTTCGTTTGTTCGATGTGACAGTTTCCAATCAACTGTGCGAATCTGTCTCCCGCAGCGAAAAAAATCGTACAAAACTATGGAAAATTATTGAGATTTCCAGCCAATACTCTGCTGCTTCTTCTTCATGTTCGGTTATTTACCAATTCAATTAATTATTAAAAATTTGTGCTAATAAATTAAGTTATCTCCCTGCCGCAGCAGCAGCAACAGCGGAGCAAATAATTTGCACCCTAGGCTAGCTCGGCCAGCAGAACGAAAACGCAAGTTAAAGAAGAAAATAAATCTAAATTTAACATCGACATTCTCCGTAAACAGCAGCAAAGGTGTTAATTGCTTGAGTTCACATCGGAATAGTTCCGCTCTCAATCGTGGTTCGTATTGAGACATTTACTGTCAGCTAATATTTGTTCATGATTATAACTGTAGTTTTATTTTGTTCAATTGATGGACTTCATTGTTGCAATGTCAATTTTTGGATCTCCATTGTTGGTTCATGGGAGATCAAAGAAAATCAAGTTAAAAAAGTCATCAAGTTCGGGCGGGTCGAACTTGTTATGCCCTCCACCAAAATACCATTAATCGGTCGACATTGTTTGCCTGGAGGTTTTAAATTTTCTGAGAAAAGAAAATACCGCATTCGAGCCTATCAGATTTGAAAGTTCGGTTCAGACCTTCAACATACTGGCAGAAGGGACGGGATGTTGTGTACAACATTCACCTATCTCTCCGAATTTTTATGAGGTTTTTATACTTTAAATAATTGGAAAATTCGTAGAAGACCTTAAGGACAGCGGGACCGGACATTTATATGGAACGGAATATCCTACCAGAAGTTTTTTGTACTCCGAGATAGCCAAATACCAAAAAATTCGAAATATTTAAGTTAGCAAGTTCGGGTAAGACCTTCAGCATACCGCAAATGGGATAGGAAGTTAGATATTGCATCTAAGACCATGAATACCGTAAACCGTAATATCGGGATTTATCAAAATATGGACCTATATTGAAATTTGGTGAACGGAACACCAAATTAAAACCCTTCGTCCTCAAAACTTAAAAATACTGAAAATATGCGGGCTATGTCAAAGCGTGAACGTATATTGCCTCCCAAAACATAAATTGCTAAACTACAGCCTCCTCTATTGAGGCTGGGAGCATAAAAGTGCTTTAAATAGTGTGGGTCTTGTATAAAGGACCCGCACTATTTAAGGCCGATAGCTTTATAGCCGATTTTCTGTCAAGAAGTTCTTCTGCACCACTAACCTGGAATTCTAAGCTGCATCCTCTTGGAAAATGATCATAGACCATAAAAGTACCCAAAATGCGAAAGGACATACAATTCAGCTGAATAAGCCTTCGCGTTAGGAAATATTTAATTTAAACTACCTTAATGACGATTCGTTTACCAACAGTTTTTAGTCAGATCAGCTGAATTTGGTTGTTCTTAAGGAAAATCTTCAATTCAGCTTAGCTGAATTTGGTTTCCATTAAGGAAACATCATTTAATCTTAGCTGAATTGGATTTTCATTAGGTATTATTCAATTCAGCTTAGCTGAATAGGGTTTCCATTAAGCAAATTTTATTTTAGCTTAGCTAAATTGTGGGTCCGCTAAGAAAACTTCATTTCAGTTTAGCTGAATTTGGTTTCGCTTGAGAAAATATTTGTTGATTTAGGTTTCCCTTAGGCAACCTTTAATTTACCTAGCTGAATTAGGTTTCCATGAGGTAATCTTCAATTTGGCCTAGCTGAATTATGTTTACTTCAGGTAACCTTCAATTCAGACCAGATGAATTAGATTTCTATGAGGTAATTCTCAGGTAAATTTCAATTCAGCTAAGCTTAAGAAGGTTTCTTTTCATCTTAGCTGAATTGGGTTTCAATTAGGTAAACATCATTTAAGCTTAGCTAAATTAGGTGTTCAGTAAGAACAGTTCTTTTCAGCTTAGCTGGATTTGCTTTCGCTTGAGAAAATATTAGTTTAATTAGGTTTTCATTCGACCAAGCTGTATCAGGTTTCCATTAGATGACCTTCAATTTGGCCCAGCTGAATTAGGTTTCCATTAGGTAACCTTTAATTCTGCCCAGCTGAATTAGGTTTCGATTGGGTAAACTTCAATTCAGCCCAGCTGAATTAGGTTTCGGTTGGGTAACCTTCAAGTCGGCCCAGCTGAATTAGGTTTTCATTATGTAACCATCAATTCGGCCCAGCTGAATTAGGTTTCCCTTTGGTAAACTTCAATTCGCCCCAGCTGAACTAGATTTCCATTTCCATAGGTAAATTTTAATTCCGTCCAGCTGAACTAGATTTCCATTTCCATAGGTAAACTTCAATTCTGCCCAGCTGAATTAGGTTTCCATTAGGTAACCTTCAATTCTGCCCAGCTGAATTAGGTTTCCATTAGGTAACCTTCAATTCTGCCCAGCTGAATTAGGTTTCCATTAGGTAACCTTCAATTCTGCCCAGCTGAATTAGGTTTCCATTAGGTAACCTTCAATTCTGCCCAGCTGAATTAGGTTTCCATTAGGTAACCTTCAATTCTGCCCATCTGAATTAGGTTTCCCTTAGGTAACATTCAATTCTGCCCAGCTGAATTAGGTTTCCATTAAGTAACCTTCAATTCTTCCCAGCTGAATTAGGTTTCCATTAGGTAATCTACAAATCGTCCCAGCTGAATTAGGTTTCCGTTATGTAACCTTCAATTCTGCCCAGCTGAATTAGGTTTCCATTAGGTAACCTTCAATTCGGCCCAGCTGAATTAGGTTTACATTAGGTAACCTTCAATTCGGCCCAGCTGAATTAGGTTTACATTAGGTAACCTTCAATTCAGGGCTTCAATGAGGCCTCATCAAAATACATAGGGTTTAAACTATGTTTCTTAAGACCAAATCAATTTCAGAAAACTATCGAAGGGAGTAAAAAAATTCATTCACACTTTACGTTTGTAATATTTCTTCCAAACTTGAATTGAAGATGGGGAATATCGGTAATTTAGCTGAATTTCATTTTTCATTGGAAATCTTCAATTCAGCTTAGCTGAACTCGTTTAATATGGGGTTTCAAACGGAAATCTGCTATCCAGCATTGCTGAATAGGAGTTTCATTAAGCAATCTTCAATATGATTCCCGAAAAAGAGCATAATTTGTAATAAATAAAACACCAGATAATTTTTCATTAATATTAATTTGAAATATTTTCAATAATTTATTAATTTATTTATAAGGAATTGATTGTTTTATTTTACAAAGTATTTATATTGTTACTAATTAATATATACTTAACTCATGTTGTTGAGTTTTTTAATTAAGAAGAGTTTAATTTTTATTTTTTTTTGTTTAATTTGAAATTTTCGATAATAATTTCCAAAGAAGAAAAAAATCTAGTAATGATTTTTATAATAATTTTTCTTATGTAACTAAATTCAATATTTAAAAATATATATTTATTTTCAAAATGGGTATACTTTTTAATTGCATATATGTTCGAAAGTTTATAATTTGTTTTATATTTATTAAATTTTATGCTAACTTTAATGTCTGGACTAAATAATGGTATTTTTTTATAAGTTAAATTTGAAAAATATTTGAATACGAATTTGAGTTAAGTTTTATATTTTATTTACTAATTATTATTGCGTTTATGCACGGCATATATCAATATAATTCTACATATTTAATTTACAAATATGTTATTGTTTTTTTAGAAGAAATGTGAATTTTTTTTTTACAATTAATTTTTATTTCATAATTGATTTTTTGTTTTAAATTTTTAATACGACTTTTGATTGTTTTGCTAAAATAATGAATGGTATTTTTTTTAAATATATATTTTTTATGTATTTATGTATATGTCTATAGGTCTTAAAATTTATTGTGTGTGTATTTTTTATTAAGGATTTTTTTGTTTTTATTTATTTTTTTTTTACATATTGGCTAAAATACAGCTATAATTTTATTTTAAATTTGTAATGATAGGAATCTTTGTATTAATTTAAAATTATTATACATAATATGTTTTTTTAATTAAATAAAAAAAATAATTGCTTTATATAGTATTTTTTGGGGCAAACAACAACCTTTTTTTAATGAAATATATAATAATATACATATATGTATATGTAATATATGTATATATTAATATACAAATAATATTTTATTTTTTTAATACATAATTAAAACTTTACCAAACATAAAAAGGAAATATATATAAAATATATTATAATATATATGTATATATATTTTCGAATTAATGGAAAACATTTATTTTTTTTCTAATATATAATTTGGATTTGTATTCCTAATTGAAAATTTACCAAAAATAAAATAAAAATAAAAATAAAAAAATCATAACAAATTGTAAAAAAAATCCAATTAAATGTTTACATATATATTTTAATTGAAAACTTTTCAAGTCTTTAAATAAAAATAATTAATTAAGAAAATTGTTTTTATTTAAAATATATTTAATTAAAAAACATTCTTAATTAACTATTTTTCTATTAATTACATAATTAATTTTTATTAATTAATATGATAATATCTTTTTTAAATTAAAATAATTTCCTTATTAAAAAATTAAAAAATTTTAAATATTTTTTTTAAAAGTTTTCCAAAATATAAGCTCTGTTTAAAAACAAAAGTAACATAAACATAAAATAAAATAACATAAAATAAATAAAAAGAATTTATTTAAAGAAATTTCAATTTTTTTTTTTTTCAAAAAGAAAGAAAATTTTATATTTTTAATGAAAATTAAAAATTGAAAACTCAAATTTTATTTAAATTAAAAATTATTTTATATTTCACATAATGGTTCATTCAAAAATAGTTACTTTTTTATATTTTAATTAAAGAATTAATAATTAATAATTTTTGAAATACTAATTTCAAATAATCACTTTTAAATTAAAAATATTATTGTAATAATTATTTTTGTATATAACACATTTTGTGAACATAATAGTTTTTTAATCACTTTTAATATTTTAAAAGTTAAATAATTTTTCCAGTTTCAAAAAAAATATTTTTTTTAAAAATATATTTATTTCGAAAAAATCAAAAATATTTATTTTTTATATTTTTTTGCCATTATTTCCAATTTATTTAATAGGAAACATATGTGTTCTTTTTGTTGTATGGTTTCTATTTTCAAAAATCTATCTTTGGTTGTTGTTTATTTAGGTTTTTGTTATTGTTACTATTGTAATTTTTTATTAATTATTTCTTTTTGTAGTTGTATTTTTTATACTGAATGGTATTATATTAATTATTTTTAATTATTTAAATTTGTGCATTTTTATATAATAATATTATTTTTTTTTTTTTTTGAGCTTAAAAATCTTTTGAAAGTAATTTTTTTATTTATATTTTAGAAAATAATTGTTCTTACATTATCACAGAAATAAAAAGAAAAATATTTATTTATATAAGGAAAAAAATATTTAAATTTTATATTATTTTTTTCATTTTCATCATACTATATGGAAACATTTTTTTTATTGTAGAAATATTTACAAGTATGGGCAGAAGTTTTATTTTTCGTATATGTATGTGTCTGTAAAGATTTCAGTTGTATTTAAGTTGGAATCATCATACTAAGATTTATGGTTTTTATTTTAGGATTTTATTGGAAATGGCAACGGCATTTTCATTGTGGAATCTAAACCTGCACTTCAGGGAACCACGGCAGATTCCGGCGAACTGTTTGTCACAAATTGCGCATAATTTCCTGATAAATTTCTTCATTGACGCAAGACTTCATGATACACTCTCCCTTCATGATACACTGTAGGGGAGAGTCCAAGAAAATTTCCCTCTGGAGTACCGCTCAACATATACATTTTCAAATCTTACTGAATTACCTTTCAAACTAGTATTCAATCCACTGAGATTTTATATAAGATATGTTGGGCGCCACTTTTATGTGTAAGACGCCACTAATTCCACAAGTTAATATTTCTATCATGAAAAAAATTAAATTATGGGCCAAATGATGGGATCGTCAGAGTGTGGAAAATTGATCTTTTAACTCAATCATTAATGTTGGGCGCCACGCTAATTTGGAAAACTCTGACTCTCATATATTTTTATGAGAGTCAGAGTTTTCCAAAAGCAGTCATTATGTGTAACAAACCGATCAATACTAATTGAAGTCAATTGAAAGTTAAATTAATATATGTTGGGCGCCACCTTTATATGAAAATTTCAATATCTCCCTAGTATGTATATAAGAATAAACTATGGCTTTTAGTTCAAGAGAAAATATTTTCTAACGAGCAAAGATGAAGTTGGGCGCCAAGGGTAAATTGAAAGTTAAATTCACATATGTTGGGCGCCATTTTTATATGAAAATTTCAATATCTCTCTTGTATGTGATTTAATACAGAAAAAATGACAAATAACAATAAATTATGGATTTTAGTTCAAGAGAAAATATTTTCCATGGAGCAAAGTTGAATACGTTGGGCGCCAAATTTGGAAATAAAGTTTCCAATACCTGTTCTTGAACTGATATTGCTAATTTTTAGCAATAAACAATTGCCAAACAATAAGAAAAAAATTAATTCGTTAAAAAACTCATTTGAAAACCTCCAAATACCCATCTTATATAGAGACAACCTCAAACTCAAATATCACACCAAAAAATGGTAAATTGAAAGTTAAATTCACATATGTTGGGCGCCATCTTTATATGAAAATTTCAAAATCTCCCTAGTCTGTGATTTAATACAGAAAAAATGACAAATAAGAACAAATTATGATTTTTAGTTCAAGAGAAAATATTTTCTAAGGAACAATGTTGAATACTTTGGGCGCCATATTTGGAAATAAAGTTTCCAATACCTGTTCATGAACTGATATTGGTAATATTTAGTAATAAAGATTTCCCAAACAATATGAACAAAAGTGAATTTGGTTAAAAACTTATTTGAAAACCTCAAAACTCCGAAAAATGGGGACATCTTATATAGAGGCAATCTCAACCTCAGATATCACCCTAAAGAGTAGACCTTTATTTATAATTTCTGATAGGAAGGTTTGCCATTCGATGAGTACTTAAAGATACCTAAAATATCAAATCATGCCCCGAAACGTGGGTATTAATTTTTGGTAGGGAGTTATTTAAAAAACGTAATAAAAATATAGGTCAGCTCAAATATTTCGCTACTACTCGGCTTATTTCATTCAGGACAGACAAATTTCCACCTCAAATGCAAAAATATGTATTAAGAATTTCCTGCTAGGTTTACTGACGAAGGCCTATGTCAAAAATTCAAACGTTGGGCGCCATTTTTATTCTGAATTTTCCGTAATAAATGCAAATAGACGTTAAGAGCCATATTAGCGAAATAGTTAATAAAATCCTACAAGTCTGGAGCTTGATTTAACGTAGCATACATTAAAAGTTTCATTTCAATATAGATATATTGGGCGCCATATTCAATCTTTGGACACTATTTTTATTTTGAATTTCCCAATGGGAAATGTTTCTGTATAGTAATTAATAAAAATACACATTGGGCGTCATTTGTGTGATATAGTTGGTTTTTAAAATCCTACAAGCCTGGAGCTTGATCTTATGTAGCATATATTGAACGCTTCGTTTCAATTTGGATATATTGGGCGCCGTATTTATGGATTTTAATTTAATTTCCAATGAGTCTTAATTTCCCATAATTTCTAATCAGGAATACATGCAAATGTCCGTTGTGAGCCACATCATAAATAATAAAATCGGCTCTAGATGACTTTGAAGGTCGAAGGCTTGGAAGTGTGGAACGTCTCATTGTCATATCAAAATGGAAATTTCTATATTAAAGGAACATATGTTGAGCAATTCGCTGTAATACGGAATCGTTGCGACTAAAATATTATATGACGAAAATCACTATTGGGAAATTTTTAAATTTTCCAGTAGGAAATTCATTTAATTAGGGATCAATACACGGACCTAATGTCAAATATTTAAAATTTGCAATGTTTCGAGAACAAAACTAGATAATGAATGCTAGGGCAAAGGTTGAAAAGTCTGAAGCTTCATATTCAAAGTAACATTAATTGAACGATTCGATTAGAAATGGAATTATTGTGAACTTCATGTATTTTAAAGTTGGGCGCCATCTTTATGATAAAGATTGCGATTTTCATAATGGTAAATGCTTTTTATTCAAAATAGAGAAATACTATGATTTTTTTTAATTAGATAGACGTTGGGCGCCAGATAGACGTTGGGCGCCACATCAAATAAACTCGTTGAGATGCTAAAATACTCAATGAAAAATTTAGAGATGGCTTATAAATATTTAGGCGAAGACTGCAAAGTATGGAGCTTCCTTTGTTATTTCAAGATAAAGGCTTACAATTTAAAGTGAAATTAATTGAGCGATTCGTTTTAATATGGAATAGATTATTAAAATTATTATAAATTGGGCGCCATCAGTATGGGTAAAATTTTTAATTTTAATACGACATATTTTTAATTCGCCATAAGCACAGATATTCGTGTCTCCACATGAGATTAACGTTAAGATATTTTAAACGCTGTTATAAACTTAGAAGAGATGACTTGAAATTCTAAAGCATCCCACTTTATGCCAAGTTAATTTATGTTGGACGCCATCTTTATGAGGGAGATTTCGAGTTTCTCCGTCTGAAATATTTTTTTTATTCAGAACAAATAATGATATAAGTGGAAAATTCGAATCAACGACTTTGAATTTCGAAATTTTTCTAATCAAAAATATATACATATTACTGTTGGGCGCCACCTGAGATAATGTCGTAGCGATATGTTAAACAGCTATAACTATTAGATCGAATGCATCTAATCCGAATATCTAATGTTTCAGGGCGCCAAATAATATTAATGAAGTGTAGGTTCCCTGGCAGGATTCCTTTTAGACAATATGTTTATATTGTAGTGATCCTTAATATGAGTCTCATTGCCATTTGCGAAAAAATCCCTTTTGTTTTCAGATAAGTTTATGGAAGATATGATAGTCTATAATTTGGCAAAATATATATTCTTGTTATATATAATATGGAATACAATTTTATTATACTTAATGAACTCTTTCTCTCTTGATCTCTTTTCTTATATAGACCTTAGAAAATAAAATGATTACTTAGTTGTAGAGATATTAAGAAACCTAATTTTGAGATTTGCAATTTTACTCTCTTTTTTGCTCATACCAGAGAAATGTTCTCCTGTAATTTACATTAACACCCTATTTTCCTCTTTTCCAAAAAGTTATAGTAAACATCAGACCCTCTCTTTACCTTATTGATTCAATAGGGTATTGGTGACCTCGGAAAACGACAGCAGCGGACTACCATCGATATTCTGCTCCAAGCCACTCAAAGTGGCGGTGGCTGCACACGATGTCGGCCCTGGTCCGGCACCAATGACATAGGCATTTGTGGCATAAGCCAAGGCAGCAGCCGATGCTGATGGATGCATTACTGCAGTTGTTGTAGCATTTCTTGTCTTATACGATGAGGGATATAGAGTACCACTGGTACCCAGCGACTGCAAAGACACACCACCTTGACTACCCAAATCCGTAGGATTATCCAATGTAGTCGACGTTATGACAATTGGTGATGCTATTATGGCCAATTGATGATAGGGTGTAGCCGTCGATGTCATTGTCAATCCAGGCGAACTTAGCGAACCATTATGATTACTACTAATGATGGTACTTGGTCCATTACCTCCGTTCAGACCATTTATAACACTACTTATGGCTGGCAACTGTTGTAGGGGAGGTGAGCTGCACGATGGCGAAGAACTGGCCGATGCCGCTACTGCTGCTGCTGCTCCACTAGTTATAATGGCATTATTACAATTAACCACAGATGATCCTGCCAAGGTGACTAATGGTTGTAAATGATGATTGTATGGACTGAGTTGTAATACTTGTTGTTGATGTGGCTGTTGTTGTTGTTGTGACTGTTGGCTGATCATGATCTGTTTTTTTTTTTGGGTTTTGTTGAAGTGTTTGTTGTTGTTGATTCGTATATGTTGGGGGTAAAGGTTTGGGGAAGAAAAATAGAAAATATGTTAGTGTTGTTGTTAAATTTTTATTGGAGGGTCGGGTTTATATTTTGTATAATTAATAAAAATAAGGTGCAGTGTGCTTTAAAAAAAACATATTAAAAAAAGTGTGGAAAATAATTATTTCTACTTTTACGGATAACTATTCAGTAAAGAATTTCAATGAATTTGTAGAGAACACAGCTACAGCCTTTGTATGTTGAAATCACTGAAATAATATAAATACATGTTGGGCGCCATTTTAACAAAAATGCTATCGAGAAATAAATATGGTTGTAATTTATTAAAATAGCATCCACCTATTGACGTCAATATTCGCAGAAGTAAAGGAATCAGTTTCACTGATACAAGCACGAGTAAAAGAGATAGAGAGTATAGTATATGTTGGGCGCCACTTTTATGCGCAAGACTTTAATATTTTTAAAAGATACGGTTTTTATTGCGAATTTGCTGATATAAATACATGTTGGTCGCCATTTTTTTTTTCAAAAAATACACTTTATTGATTATTAGCTATCTGGAAATAAATAAGATTGCTTACAATTTGTCAAGTGAGTTTTCAGAGAATTAAAATAGAATCCACCTCTTGAAGTCAATATTCGCAGAAGTTAAGGAATTTGTTCTGAATCGAATATATGAAAGAGTGAGGGAGTATATTATATGTTGCGCGTAAAACATCAATATTTTCAGAAATTAAGATTTTTATTGCGAATCTGCTACAAGAAATAAGATTGGGCCAAGTCTAGTGGAATCTAAAGGATGTGAAACAAAGGAAAAACATGAATGATTGGGTTAAAACATGTTTTAATGTTGGGCGCCACTTTATTGTTTCGTCATTTCTTACTATAAGACAGTATTGGGTTCAATTGAAATTTTCTGAATAATATATAAGCGTATATTTTGTAGCCAAGCAATCAGTAAATTTGGGCGCCACTTTTATGTGCAAAACTTCAATATTCCTGGAGTTAAGATTTCTATTCCGAATAACTGACAATTACACAAATCAGAATGGAGAAACCACATTAAAAAAAAACGTTAAAGAGATCGCCAGCTTTTTACATTTACGCTAACACGTTGGGCGCCATTTGTCAATATTTAATTTTTTTTTGCAGATTCAGATTCAATGGGTAGAGAAGAATCCCAGGGGCAAGTTTTTCTGTAAAGAGGATCCAGTTTGTCTTTACAGACGAACTACTTTGTCTGTACAGTTTGTCTGTACAGACAAGCTGAGGGGCCAGTTTGTCTGTACAGACGAGCTGAGGGGCCAGTTTGTCTGTACAGACGAGCTGAGGGGCCAGTTTGTCTGTACAGACGAGCTGAGGGGCCAGTTTGTCTGTACAGACGAGCTGAGGGGCCAGTTTGTCTGTACAGACGAGCTGAGGGGCCAGTTTGTCTGTACAGACGAGCTGAGGGGCCAGTTTGTCTGTACAGACGAGCTGAGGGGCCAGTTTGTCTGTACAGACGAGCTGAGGGGCCAGTTTGTCTGTACAGACGAGCTGAGGGGCCAGTTTGTCTGTCCCGACGAACTGAGAAGATCTTTAGGTATTACATGTGCCTATATTCAGGACATCTATGATGATATCATAAGGACCTTTTCCTTTATGAGAAAACTTTATGGTCTTTTAGAAGAAGATCTTATGCAATTCTAATAAAGAGGGAAGAATACCTTCTATGTGAATAAGATTATGTCTGTGATTATGTCTATGTCTGTGAAAATACTTCCAGGTCAACCACACCAATAATACCTCTAGATATTTATTTCAGAACTGCTGAATTAGGATTTCCACGGCAATAAGTCGCCAAATGGAAAAATCATGTACTAAATGCGACTGTAAATTCCAACATTGAAGAGTCTTTAACTTGAATGGAGTTTTTAGGCTGATTTTTTTTCGTCACACAGTTGGGCGCCAGTGTAGTATAATACAGTCAGACATCTTCTCTCTTTGTAATAGAATCAGATATCCTCTGTTTGTATCTTCTCTCTTTGGAAGAATCGATTTGTATGAAATATTTTAATATTATCAGAGCATTGGACGTGGATTTTTAAGGGACCTTCCTGAAGGATTGTCAGAGGTTCAAAGTGGATCCCTCAGCTGGGTCTTTTAATGCCGATTCGGCCTGGTTGGTGTTACCGGATGTGGTAGATAATTTGGTGAAGCACTTGGTATCACAACCAATTGATCTGCCACTGAGAAATATGTTGATTCCAGCGCCGTATATAAATAGCTAAACTTGAAATCCATAGTACGTTTGCCCAGCAGATCAAAATCTCCTTCGTCCATAAGCACGTTGGGCGCCATAAATGAATATTTTCGAAGCTATATCAATCAGGAACGTGCTGTTTGGTTGAGAAATCTTTGGGAATCTATATCAAATCAAAACGATTTGGAAGAGTAGTTTTTATGAAATATTTTAATATTATCAGAGCATTGAACTTGGATTTTTAAGGAACCTTACAGAAAGGCTGCCAGTGGTTGAAAGTGGATGTTTAGGATAATCCGTATCTGCATCTGAACTTTAAGAGTGGATTTTTTGGGAATATTTTTAAAAAATTATCATGAGCACGGATTTAAAGATTTTAAAAGGATCAATTTTAAGGAATATTTTAGAAATTTTAAGTAAGTTAAGTAAGGTAATGAATTTAGAATTTTTTATAATTTATGTTGGGCGCCATCTTGGTAAAGTTATTTGTGAATCGATTTTGGTTTGAAAATAAATCGTACAACATGTTTTCATCATAACTAACCTATAAACAGCATCGAATGTCTATCTAAACCCAAAATAAGGCATGTTATGCCCAAGTTCAGCATTTAGCTTCTCTATAAAGGTCACTCGCATTCAGTATTTGGTTTGAAGATAAATTGTACAACATAAATGTTTTCTTTTTACATTAAATATGTATACCAATCTATATATTTTCCAATTTTTTTTTTCCAAACAAATATTACCAACTACCAATTAACTTATACATATAAAGAGAGAAATTTTCAACTAGACAAATTACACACCCGATCATAATTTTTTTGGTTGGAGTTTTTGAAGAGTATTTTTTTGTTTTCAGGTCAGACCGAACAGAAAAAGAAGTAGTATTTGTATCTACTAGAGAACAACAGAATGGTACAACAACGGAACTACTGAGTGCTGCTACTTATGTGTGTTGGTTGTGGATGTGTGGCAAGTGCTGTTGTTGGTGGTGGTGGTGCTGAGAGAGATGTTGGTGCCGCCGTCGATGAAATGCTGCCACTGCCAGCATGCAGTGGATGATGCACCGCTGCATGGTGATGATGGTGATGCGAGGGGTGGTGATGGTGGTGCGGATGATAAGAGAAATATTGTGAGGCATATTGGGTGGCATATGATGCCGCTGGACTCCATACCTCACTGCCATTGGTTGCAGCAGTAGTAGCGGCAGCAGCAGCAGCTGCGGAGGAAAGGGTTGTTGCTGTTGGATTGCTGGCCACCACTGTTCCCGCAGCATGGTGGTGATGATGATGATGGGGATGATGTGCGGCATGAGGATGATGGTGGTGATGATGATGAGCTGAATGGGAATGATGTTGTTGTTGCTGCTGCTGATGATGGTGATGGGGTGAAACAGCCGCACTATGGCTTTGAGAGGGTTGTTGAGAATGCGCATGTGCTGTTGCCCCATGATTCGCATGTAGATGATGATGGTGGTGGTGCGGATGGGCAGGATGCGATGATGGTGAGGTATGATGCTGATGAACGGTATTCTGTAAATGTGTATGGCTATTGGTTTGTTGCAGAGTAGAGGAGGATGTAGAGCCATCGCTAACAGTTGCAGTTGCCAAGGGTGCATGTGGAGGTGGTGGTGCTGCCGCCGCTGCGGTTGTTGTATTGCCTGAGACAATCTTTGAGTGTATTGTGTTGTTGTGAGTGTGTGGTGCTGTGGTGGTGGTGTTGGACGAAAGTGATGATTCAGCCACCGTATTATGGGCCAGAGTAGAGCCACCGCTTCCCGCTCCTCCTGAACTGCTCCCACTGCTACTCAAACGATGCTGTGGCGAGGTGGTGTGCGATGAGGCCGAATAAAGACCTGAATCATCATGATGCATTTGATAACTATCCGGTGTGGAAGCACTTTTATTATCCTTGCTTGCGGAACCATTCCATTTGGCCGTAGCCTCTGAGGGATCATTGGCATAGCTGAGACCATTCGAAAGGGGGGTAGTTTGTGGAGAACGTTCCGTATTGCTGGAGAGGTGACGATGATTTGTGGCGGAATTAGTGCTGGAAGCTTGTATGGTATTGATGGGTATGCCACTGGACTGGGAACCCCACATGAGGACAGTTTGACGTTCGTATTGGTCCTGAGAGGCCATTTCAACCTTGGGTGTGATAACTGCTGGGCCGTTCGACGTCGAACCACTGTGCGGATTATTTAAATTATTGACAATGGCACCGGAGACAGGTGAGGGGCCATTCGATGAACAGGAGACAACTTCCATGACATGGGGAGAAGACTTTGGCGTTTTTAGAGGAACTTGCTAAACGACAGAGGGGAAAAAATAATTAATTAAAATCGACAAATATAAAGTTTCATGTCTTCCTTACCTGTGGCGTAGATGTGGGACTACCATAACCACTGCTATAACCACTATAATATTTCCCTGTATCCTGCCATTTTTCTTCTTTGGAGGTAATGGCATAGCCATCATAGGACAGGAAACCATTGGCGGCCACATATGCAGAGGCCGGGGCCGCCGAATGATGATAGTCGGCATAATAGCCACCCACACCTTGTAAACGATATTGATGGAAGAGATTTTCGGTAACCGGATAGAAATTAGTGGAATGCACCGAAGTGCCCATATAAATATTATCTGCCGCTGTGGCATATGGCGAGGTTGTATACATGGGATTTAAATTAGAATAGGCAGCTGCCACCGCGGCAGCAGGATCTGGAAGATATTCCACAACGGGAGCAGGGGAGGTGACCTAGAAACAAATTATTTTTGTAGTCAATTAAATTGAAATCCCTTTTTAGAGGCTGTAGAACTTACCTGCCCCAGTGGCGAACCCTGTTGGTTCTGCTGCTGCATTTTACGTTTTGAACGGCAGGTTGACAAGAAATCTCTCAGCTGGGTCTTGTAGCGCCTGTTGGGTCTGGTTGGTGTCACCGGAGGTGGTAGAGAATTTGGTGAACCACTTGGTGGCACCACCAATTGATCAGCCTCGGAGAAATATGTCGAAGCCAAACCCGTATCTAAATAGCTAACCTTGAAATCCATTGTCCGTTTGCCCAGTAAATCGAAACCTTCTTCATCCATCAGCACACGATGGGTGCAAATGACAAAATCGGGTTTGGAATTTTTATAAACTAAACGGGAGCTAAGAGGAAGAATAGAGAGGGAATGGGTATTAAAAATGGAAAACAAATAGAAAAAACGGAGGGGGAAAACTCACCTGGTCTGCAGCCACTGCCATTCACCGTCCTTCTTTTGGTATCGGTAGGCAATCATGCCGGAAGCACCAGTTTTAAGAACTGCAAAGAGATGAATATTCGAGGTCAGCAGGAGTTCTATGCAATGGAGAATCTTTAAAAGCTCTAATATAGACTTCTCTGGAGGTCGACAGACGAAAAATAACCCTCAAGAGGTATTACATAAGAGGAAGGGTATTCAGAATGTCTCCGATATATTGAAGGCTCTCCGAAGGTTTTCTGTAAGTAGATGATAACTCAGATGCTCTTCTATAGACCTCTTAAGATTTTATTTCTATAGGAGACCCTTTAGAAGATCTGCTAAAAATGCAAAGCCCCTCAGATGGTTACCCAAAAATTATATATTTAAGGAGGTATTCGATAGAATTCCCCTATGGTGTTATTTCATAGACATATATGAATTAAGGAGATTATCTATAGAACGAAGACTACTTAGAAAAAAAAATGGGAACCCTTAGAAGGTATTCGAGAAATATAAATTAGGAGGTTCCTTAAAAGTATTCCGTAAACATAAGACGCCTTAGTAAGTCTCCTATGTATAGAAGAGGGTCGTTTAAAAGTAGATGAACCCATGTCAAAATTGAAGACCCCCATAGGAACTCTTCTATAAACCGAAGACCGCTTTGATAAGGTTTTCTATAAATTAAAAGTCCCGCAGAAGGTCTTCTATAATTCCTTTATGGACTTCTTTAAAAAGCACACTCTAGGAAGTCCCCTAATGAGATCTTCTGTAAGATGGTCCTCTGTACATATAAAACCCTAATAGGCCTTCTACAAATAGAAGACCCATTATGATGTCTTAGAGATACAGAAGGCCCTTTTAGAAGGTCTTCTAAAATTCGTCAAATAATAGCAGGCTTCTCCGAATGAATACCCCTGGGAGGTCTTCTAAGGAAACCTTCTATAACTAGTAGACAACTTAGGAAGTCTTCTATAAACAGGAGACTTTTTAGGCCTTCAATAAGAAGAAGACTCCCCTAAAAGGACATCTGAAAACAGATAGAGGTCTTCTAAAAATAAAAAATAAATCATTAGGATGTCTTCTGTAAATGGAGATACATTTGAACTTCCTCGAATGCCCCTCAGGGGGCTTTTTATAAATATAAACCCTTGTAGGTGGTATTCTGTAGGACTTCTGTTATAGGATAACCTGTAGGGGCCTTTTAAAATTTAAGACCGCCTATAAGGTATTCCATATATACAGGATCATTTAAGTTATTTTAGAAATTTAAAATCTGTCTCGTTTTCCTTGTAGAGTAAACTTCTTAAATGCTTATCTGGAGATCGAATACCCCTTAGAAAATCTTCCATTTATAGAAGGCCCTCAGAAGAGGTTCTCCATACATAAAATATCCCCACAGCGTTATTCTATCTATAGCAAACCTATAGAGGAGTCAAAAGATCACCTGAAGGGTCTTCAATCAATCGAAGACCTTCTAACAACCTTCCGACTGAAATTTAGTCTGTAGAAGACCTCCTTGGATCTATAAATGACCTCTTGAGGAGTCGTTTTTCTTAAGAATGCCTTCTTAGGTTACTTCTGTCTATAGGAGACCACATACATCCTCTTAAGACCAAATATATACATTTGAATTCTGGGTGTTACTTACGTTCCTGATGGGCACTTGCCACATAGGCCAAGTCATCATAGTGCACCAGATCATAACCACCCATATTGACTAGTTCAGCATCGCTATAACCCAAAATGTGTTTGCCTCTGAAAATAAAAAACAACAACAACAAATAATTAAAAAATAAAATTTCCACTTCCCAAAATAAAATCCCCTCCCTTACCTTTGATCCATCGAAACCAATGAGAAATCCAGCTTATGTTTCGATTTAAACATATTCTCCTTGTGAGGAATCTCCAGTAGACTCGGGGGACCAAATGGCGTACAGTAGGCAAATAGCGCCAATGGAGGTTCTTCAGTTTTACGATTTTGTCCATGCAGAATTTTTATACGCCCCCGTATATCCAAACGTAAGAAACCCGATGTATTGTCAAGAAGGCAACGAAACCGCACTGTGAAGCTGCGCTCCAAATAGAGAGCCTTATCGGGCGCCAATGTCTCTGCCAATTGCATACTGGACATATCAGCGGGTAAAAAGGAATTCCACAGCAGCTGACGTTGCAACTCTTCACGATCTTCGGAGTGGACCAGCTCATAGACAGATTGGTGGACAATGTCAGACTGAAAAAGAAGAGAGGAAAAGAAACAAAATTAAAATCAGAACGTATTGAAATTAAGAGAAGGGGAGAAGAATGAGAGAACATTTTGAGGAAGAAAACATTAAAACGATAGCAAAAATATAGAAGTGTAGAGGGAAAACATTGAAATTAAAACAACAAGTGCAAGTGTTTCTTTTTTATATGGGGTTAGTGAACTGCAACGGTTTGGAAACACCTTTTTGCGTAAGCTCCGCTGCTGCTGCTTGATCACCTTTATTGATTTTTGTATTTGTTTTTGGCGTATTTTTTTTCTTCTTCGGTGTTTATAAATCATTGCAAAAACTTAAATTGAAATTTCATTTCATTTGTTGTTTTTTTTTTTGTTTTTGTTGGGGAATCTCCTCTTTTTGTTTTCTTGGTGTGTGTGTGTGTGTGTATGTGAGATCTTGTTCTTATTCTTACTGTACTCTACAGGTAGCCACCGACAAAAATTGAGATATATAAATTTACAAGAAGGAGGTCTCATGTTGATCGGTGTACAAAGCAAAGGTTGAATGTTTGATTAAATAATCGAAAAAGAGGAAGATCGGCATAGATGAATTGAAGAGACCCTAAATTTGTAATAATTGCGTTAGCAAAGAAAATCGGAATTTTGCTGGCAACAAAAAAATTGTTGTGTTACATTGTGGCATTCTGAAAATTTTCTATAGTCAAAAGACCATTTAATATGTATTCTATAAATATGAGAACCCTTAGGAAGCCTTAAAATAGAAGGCAAGTATAAGATCACTTTGAGGTCTTCTAAAAATATAAGATCCTTTAGGAGGTCTTCTAGACATTGAAGACCACGAAGGGGTCATATAAAAATGTCGTTTAGACTTCAAAGATGATTTCTTTTTACAGAAGCTCTATTTCAAGTTTTGAGACAATCTGCTAAAGCGATTTTCTTTCACCAGGGCCCCTTATTAGCCTTTCGATATAATAATTGTGGTCTCAAAAAAGAGATTTTTTGGGAAACAACAAATTTACATTTTGAAAACAAATATACTGGGCGTTTTCAGAAGGTATACTAAAGGTCTACTACCCTTAGAAGTGGTCTTCTTCAGTTACTGGGATACCTATCTTCTTTTTAGAGGACTTCCTAAAGGGCTTCCATGGCCTTCTAAGGGTTCTAAAAGACTCCATAAATTATCTTCTATCGGCCTTTATTTTTTAGAAGACATTCTAATATATCGAATTTTGTGAGTGCCTTTGGTTCTTTTTCTTTCTTTGTACAGAAGATCTACTGGAGGTCTATATGAAATCTACTGACTCTTCTAGAAGATCCTTCTAATCCTCCTAATGTGTTTACTCTTTTTGGTAGCCCTCCTATTGTTCAGAAGACCTTATAAGAGGTCTTTTTATTTCGGGGAGAATTCCTAAATCTCTCCTAACGGTTCTTCTGTCTTCAGCAAGCATTCTGAGGGGTCTTCGTTTCCTGGGAGGTCTTCCTAAAGAGTCTCCCATTTGTAAAAGTTCTCCTATGGTAATTCCTATTATCCGAAGACGTTCTAAGTTGTATTTTAAGTACAAAAGACATATGAATAGGTCTTATATTTATACAAAACGTCCTTTGAGGCTACCTAACTTCCTAAAGACTTGTTTAGTCCTCCCAAAGCTTCATCTCTTCTTATGTGACCTACTTATGTGCCTCCTGTCCTAAAAGATTTTCCAAAGGGTCTTCTATGGGTGGTCTTCCTAAAGAGTCTACTACTTGTAAAAGTTCTCCTAGGGTAATTCCTATCTTAGTTGTATTTTGAGTACAGAGGACATATAAATAGATCGTATATTTATTCAAGACGTCCTCTGAGACTACCTAATCTCCAAAAATTTACAGAGGACATATAAATAGGTCGTACATTTATACAAAACGTCCTCTGAGGCTACCTAATCTCCTTAAGACTTTTTTGGTCCTACTATGGTCCTTCTCTTTCTATGTGACCTTCTTATGTGCCTCCTACGTTTAAAAGACTTTCCAAAGGGTCTTCTATGGGACTTAGCAATTATATTTCTAAGATATAATAAGAAGGGTACTCAGATTTCCATACAAAGTCTTTATCTACTTTCTAGAAAAAGGATACTACGAGAAGCATATTCAGCCTAAAATAGGAAGGATATTCAGTCTTTTATAGGAAAACGTATAAGCTTTCTGCTTGAAGGTTAATACGCCTTATATAAAGAATAAATTATTTTCCGATAGAACGTGTCAATGCCCCATCCTGCTTTTTTATAGGTATGCTTATTCAGCCTTCTATAGATCATAAGCCTTCTATACGAATACTCTTTAGTCGCCAATAGGAAAACCTTATAAACCTTCAATAAGATGACTCTACAGTCTTCGATAGCTTTCGCTACAGCTTTCGAGAGAAGGGCCATGTTGAGGGTAGTAATTCAGTTCTTTTGAGAACGGCTTACATATGCTTTTTATTGATAGATATTTCCTATAGAATTCAGTAAGAATATTCTACCTCTGAAGTATTCTGCTTTTCCTACTGGGTACTTCGCTACTGATCTCAAGATGATTTGAGAATTATATATGAATTGTGTTGTCGGTGTTGTTTGTTTAACAATAACTAATATTACAAGCATACATATCATCGTCTTCCTCATCATCATCGCCATCCTTAACATTATCACAAATAACCCAGAAATCGGGTTAAGGTTTTGGTGTACTACACCACCATAACATTATCATCATCAGGATGAACAACACACACCGAAGAAATGTTGTTGGACATATGTGGATACTTTGTGCCGTACTACAGCAGCAGAGAAGAGACCTTCGAATCCAAACTGCAATTGCATCTCCATATGTAGCACATACATGTATGTTCTGTTTATGGTCCAGCGCATAATCCTACCACAGCACCAGCAACAACAACACCACCGATTGAATTCCCTCCTGGAATTGGAGTACATTTGGTCAAGAAGATGTTTTTTTATTGTTTCAATTGAAACAAAAACAACAAGGCAATACTACTGCCAATATTTGTATTGGAACGTGTTGTAGATTAACTGGACTACGAACAGCACATATGTGAGCTCTACATCTGCTTTGGCTCCATACCCGACTCTTTGCACTTCTTTCTCCTCAGCCAATATTGAAAAAGGCAATGAGATAGAGACATAGCATTCGCCAACTGACAGACAGACATACCCACAACAACTACTACTACAACTTCGACTTCGTTTTCTTTCGCTGCGCTGGCATTACAATAGCAATCGCGGTGTATCTTCTTCTTCTGCTGCTTCTCGAAAATAAAATTTTGTTCGAAGAAGTTGTTGTTGTAAATGTGTAAAACGGCAAAGAATAGTTACGCCCACTTTGGTATCTCAATTAAAAATGTTGTGTTCAAGTATTTATTGTTGTTGTTGTTGCTTTTGTTGTTTTTGCTTTTTAGAGCAGAGCAATGCAAAAAACAAAGTAGCGAAGAAGAAATAGAAGAAGTTTTTAGCACCAACCAAAGAAGTCTTTACCCATTAACCAGCCAGTCAGCTAACCAACCAACTTCTTTTGGTTAGAAATCTTAGACTGTTGGCAGGGTTATGTTGTTGTTGTTTTTTTATTTCGTTGGTTCTTTGAATAAAATACAAACTAATTGTGTTGGATGGATGTGGACTGAGGAGGAAGATATATGGGGAGGTTGGTATGAAGATGTGTAAATGTTCTTGGGTTAATGAAATGAAATAATAATTGCAAATATCCTACTATAGGGTATATTACGAAGGATGATGGGTAGCTTTCTTATAATAAGCGTTCCCCCTTATAGAGGATAACTTCTTTCAGAGGACTGTATAACCTTCCCATAGAAGTCTGAGTAGGCATTTTCAAATGAAGGATGAGCAGTCTTCCTATTGAAGGGTAAAATGTGTTTCCTACTAAAGGCTGAATCTATAGGAAGTTTATACAGTTCTCTAAAAATGTCTCTTCTATAAGGGAGACCAACTTATATATAGGCCTTTTGGCAGTTTGGGTTTCTGGTGAATCTGTGTAAATGTTCTTGGGTTAATGAAATGAAACAAATAATTGCAAATACTCGCACTCAGTTTACTTTATTGGACATTAAACCAACCACACGAATGCGTACAGTGCGTACAGAAGAGAATATGGCGTCTGTTTCTGAGAGTGTTGCTGAAGACCGTGAAATGTCGATTCGTCGCCGTTCGCAGCAATTGGGTTTGTGTTATTCGACCACATGGAAGATTTTACGCAAAGATCTTGGTGTAAAACTGTATAAAATACAGCTCGTGCAAGAACTGAAGCCGAACGATATGCCACAACGTCGAATTTTCAGTGAATGGGCCCTAGAAAAGTTTGCAGAAAATCCGTTTTTTTATCGACAAATTTTGTTCAGTGATGAGGCTCATTTCTGGTTGAATGGCTACGTAAATAAGCAAAATTGCCGCATTTGGAGTGAAGAGCAACCAGAAGCCGTTCAAGAACTGCCCATGCATCCCGAAAAATGCACTGTTTGGTGTGGTTTGTACGCTGGTGGAATCATTGGACCGTATTTTTTCAAAGATGCTGTTGGACGCAACGTTACGGTGAATGGCGATCGCTATCGTTCGATGCTAACAAACTTTTTGTTGCCAAAAATGGAAGAACTGAACTTGGTTGACATGTGGTTTCAACAAGATGGCGCTACATGCCACACAGCTCGCGATTCTATGGCCATTTTGAGGGAAAACTTCGGAGAACAATTCATCTCAAGAAATGGACCGGTAAGTTGGCCACCATGATCATGCGATTTTACGCCTTTAGACTATTTTTTGTGGGGCTACGTCAAGTCTAAAGTCTACAGAAATAAGCCAGCAACTATTCCAGCTTTGGAAGACAACATTTCCGAAGAAATTCGGGCTATTCCGGCCGAAATGCTCGAAAAAGTTGCCCAAAATTGGACTTTCCGAATGGACCACCTAAGACGCAGCCGCGGTCAACATTTAAATGAAATTATCTTCAAAAAGTAAATGTCATGGACCAAT